TCTCATTCAACAGACTTTTGGGGATGAGTTACCTGCATTTTAACCTGCATGCCAACCAAGATGTACATGGGTTAATTAAGTTCAGAGAAGCAGGCAGTTAGTTGATATTTGCAACGTCCTAGTCAGAATGCCTATTCGAGGAGTAGTTAGGGGTTCAGAGACACTCTCATCTGGTGCCTTTGTGTGTGTGGGGGGGGTTTTGGGGAAGCAGCCTCTGTTATCTTTATCTCCTTTCAACACCAGAGGACTTGTTAGCATAATGCAGTTAGAAATATTTTTTTCACTAGTGAAATGAGTGTTGTTCAAGATATGTAGGTGAGCTATAATGATCATGCAGTCATCCCCCTCCTGCCTGGACAGGGTGCACTCATAGCTGTAGATTTAGGCAAACCCACACCTGTTCATTCGGACCCAGGTCGTTGACATCCGTTGCCCCTGGGGCTGAGGAGAAGGTGAGTCTGCGGTAGTGGCTCATCTGTGCTAGTGGTTCACAGCCCCAAGACAGCTCAGCAGCATGATCATCCAGGTCAAAAAACTTAGGGTCTACTTTTGCTTGTTATTTACTGATTTGCTGTAGAATAATCTCATCATGTTTTGAGTAAATTGACGATTTTGTGTTGGGCTGCATTTACAGCCATCCTGGGCTGCATGCGGCCTGCAGGGCTGCAGGTTGGTCACCCCTGCAACTGATTATAAAAACAAACAAACTGTGGAGAGCCCAGCATCTAGCACACAGGTGGCAAACACAAGGCCCAAGGGCTGAATCCGGCCCTCCACCTTGTTTTATCCAGCTGGGCACCCTGTTTCTGCCCGGTGGCAGCACCCAGTTCTCACTTAACTGTTAAGAAGCAGTTACATTTACATAGTCCTAAAGTTTCATTCGGCCCTTTGAAGGCAACCTTGAGGCTGATGTGGTCCCCGGTGAAAATGAGTTTGACACCCCTGATCTAGCAGGAGGGTGCAGGGCCAGAGTGAGGAGCAGGTATTTTTTGGTTGTGGGGACCTGCCCAGCACTTTACGTCACATTATACAAGCGAGTTGCCAGTTCTGCCAGTTCGGACCACAAACTCCTGGAGGGTAGGTGGCGCCTGAGAGAGATCATCAGAGTTGATCTGATGAAAAAGGTGGGTCCGAACAATCGGTGTGGAGAGAACTGCATGGTTATTTTGGGGCTGGTGTAAGTTTTTAAAAACTTGTTATTGTTTATATAAATTTCCTCCTATATACATTAATTATACTTATACATACCCATGCACTCTGATTACTAAGCACTAGGACTTTGTAAATATGCATTCCTCTCTGACATAACATTACTTCTGATTTTCAAACATTGCCATTCCGGCACCATGATATAAACATAACCATTCCCAGACACTCACATGATTTACAGGGCCGCAGATCAAGTGCTGAACTGTGTCATCAGACTGAAAAGAGAAAAATTCACTTCATGTTGTAATCAGCTTGCCTGCCGCAAATTCCTCCTAAGAAGGGGATTATACAATTAGTAGTAACAGAAGGACTGGGCATTGTCTGAAGTAAGCACCCCACATGCTGTGGGTTGGTCACACATTTTTGGAGGAAGTCATCAAGAGGATGTGATCACTGGCTGACCCCCTCTCCCAGGGACCCAGGCAATCAGAGGCTCCTCACCTCCTTTTTTGTCCTTGGAATGTACTTCTGCCCACTGATCGCACAGTGTTCCAAGGACACGGCCTTGACAGAGTAAAGTATGGTTGAGACCAAGTGGATGGTGCGTGTATGTGACTGAAACCCAGTAAAGGAACTCACACATACACTTTTAAGATTCTGGTGGGTGGGTGTGGAGATCTACTCATCCTGCAGCCACCCGAGGCAAACCTCGTAGGTAAGTTCGCTTGCTTACTCAACCTGCCACCTACCAACGTGCAGTGGTCTGCTTCTTTCTCTGGTCTCTCTTTGCCTTTTGTGCACCCACATGTTTGCCTCCTGTGAATCAACCAATTTCTGTTCACAAGTGGATTTCTGGGTCTCATCACTAGAAATTTCAATTCAGCAGGTCTGAGATGGGGTTCAAGAATCTTTATTGCTAAGTTTTAATAAATACCCTAGATGATATGGATGCTGTGGCCTTCAAGCCACTCTTTGAGAAAGATCCTTTTCTAAAATATCTAACCAGGAAATTTATTTCCTTTCAGGATTTAATGGGAGGCAACATCAATCTTTTACTTTTAGGCTTCTTTCGTAGATGGAGCTAGGATATATATCAATTTATATACACACATACGTGTGAACATATATTTTCTTTCTATTTACCTATCTAAATTAGAAATAATTTCTAATAGAATTATTAGAAATTAATTCTAATAATAACTTATTATTAGAAATAATAAATTAGAAATAATTTTGGTGTAGCTCAGTGGATTGAGCGTGGGCTTGCGAACCAAAGGATCACAGTTTGATTCCCAGCCAGGGCATATGCCTGGGTTGCAGGCCAGTTCATTGCAGGGGATGCACAAGAGGCAACCATACACTGATATTTCTCTCCCTCTCTCCTTTCCTTCCCCTCTAAAGATAAATAAACAAACAAAAAAGAAAAAGTTTTATATCATCACTTCTAATTGCAAGCAACACCACTGAGTTTATTCTACTTTGCCCCCTTTCCATATCTGTAATTCTCTTCTCCAGCTATTGTGAAAGCTGCCTCCCAATATCTTTAATGTATTTATTTGTTTGCTCAGTTTCCCAGTACGTAAACCAACCTGCTGGCCATCTCAACAAAAAGTGTGGTCTGTCTTTATTAAGTTATGTATCATTATACATAACATAAAAATTGTAATTATAAAAATTATGTATATCAAAATGCAATACGTACATGTGTATATAATATATGCACATATATGTATATATGTAATATTTTATTATGTCAAAAATGAAATGTAATACTTTCCATATGTATATAAAAAGTATGTAACATATATTAGCCATCTCATATAATGTATAAACTATATCAATATAAGTAACTACATATATATGATTTCATATGTGTTTTTCCCCAGCTCTGTTACAATATTTTTGACTCATAACATGAAGTTTAAGGTACACTATGTGGTGATTTGATGGACATATATGAGGGGGGCCCCCCAAAACTCAGAATTTATCTATGAAACATTGTGTATTTATTCTTATATATTTAAACTTCAGTCACCTTCAAAGTACTCTCCATTTGATGCAACACACCCATCAAGACGTTTTTTCCACTGCCCCAAACAGTTTTTGAACTCTTTGATTTTGATGCCTTTTCGTGCTTCTGCCATTTTTTGTCTCACTTCTTCCATACAGGCAAAACGTTTCCCTTTGAGGACTTTTTTTCACGTAGGGAAACAAAAAGAAAGTCACCCCAGGGCAAAATCAAGTGAATAGGGAAGGTAGGGCATGGATGTCACATCATTTTTGTCCTGCGCAACACTCAGCACAGTTCGGGCAGGTGCACTCATAAATCACCCATCATGAAATGGGCTAACAGTATAAAGAGTCTTCAAAAAATTTCACAAAGCTGAAAGCAGCCTCTCACAACAACACCAGCTGGTACAGACACAGATGGGTCCCTAGAACACTCACCTAGTGGGGGAAGCCTGTACTGCAAGGGGCCTGCCCTCCAGAAGATAGTACTGGTTGTTTTGGGGTCCCCCCTCATATTGCATAAACCACTACTACAATAAGGTTAGTTAACAACACTTCATCCTCTCACGTAATTACCATTTGTGTACGCGGGGGTAACATTTGAGATTTACCCTTCATCCATTTCGAGTGTTTAGTGATTAGTCCAACACAGGGCATGTACTAATCACTGTCTATTAGACGAAATAACTAATACATCCAATAATCAATATAGCATGGAGGAAAGGGAGATATACGTAGGAAAGGAGACCTTAAATTTCAACCTCTGGACCCGCGTGGGTGAGAACAGTCTAATTCTACCATCCTTAGAACCTTTAGGTAATGTTATTTCAAGAGCCCCCACTCCCAATATAATTCAAGAATAAATCCTTAATTTATTCTTGATATTGATAACACTTATATCGCACACCAATCTTGTGTTTACCAGCTGGCACCAACAATCTTATTTTAACTTATTGGATCTTTAACTAAACATCGAATTATAAAGCTCCCAAATTAAAGAATGTCATCAATTCAAGTTACCCTTTCTAATTTTCTGTCAACTTTTCCCAAGAATATCTGCAGAACTAATTTTTTTCTCGGAAGTTCTTTCGTGGTGTTTCGAATAAGAATAATCACAAAAACGCTCCAAATACAGCATGCGGTGGGAATGTCGAATCGATAAAAATGACGAGGTTAGTAACAATATCCCTGACGACTGCGGTGGCCCGTTTTAATTTAGAGGGCGCCAGCCACGCGCGTCAGCGAGATTCAAAGGCTACCGTGTACACCACTCCGAACCAGGCATCCCTAAGACAAACCTGACGCCCGCGAAGTTTCCAGACGCACCCAGTTCTCGGAATTGGCGGAAGGAGCCTTCGCAGCGCCGAGCCAATCTGCCAGTTTTCTCGGCGGCAGCTGAAGAAATTTCCAGGTTTTCTGCTTCCAGGGGCACTTCGCCGCCGGCACCTTCCGCGGCGCTGGAAACAGGTGAGCCGGGCGCCGGCGCGGTCTCCGGGGCGCGCTCAGGTGCTTCGGCCCCGCCCCGCCTGCGGCCGCCGGGTCCGGGCGCAGGTGCCGGCGCCGAGGCGCGCGCGGCTGCAGCTCCGCGCCACGCCCGACAGCGGGCGCCGCTGCGGCGGCTCCGGGCGGCGAGCGGAGCCGCTTCGCGAGTTGGGGCAGCTCCTGCGCTCGGCCCTACCCGGCGGCGAGAGCTCCGCCCGGGCGCCGGCTTCCCACGGCTGCGGGAGCGGGCGGGCGCCGAGGGGGCAGACCGGCTTCCGCGGACCCCGCCGGTTCGGGGCGGGGAGAGGCGGGCGCGGGGCGAGCGCGCCGGAGACACAGACCGAGCGTCCCGCGCCCCGGCACCATGCGACCCGCCGCGCCTCCTCGCCGGCCCGGGGCTTCGCTCTCCGCTCGCTGAGCCCCCGCACTCGCCACCCCCGAAACTCGCAAAGACCAGGCGAGACGTTGGAGAGCAGCGAGGAGACTGGCCCAGACGTCCCCTGCGCCCCTAAAGAGGCTGCGGATCCCCGTTTTCTGGGCTTAGAGAGCTTTACCATGAACCTGGTGCAAGATTGGCTTTAGGACAAATTCGGAAGCCGGAGGGGGGAGTCGAGGCAATTCTTTGGTTGCTAAGGTAATTGTAGTTGTGACAACAATGGGCAAGAAACTAGTGGGGGAAAAGGTGCTTTAACGCGGCGTCCCCCACCCCACCCCCCAGTTCCTCTGTGTCGATGCCATCTCATCGCCTGGGTGTAGACGCCGGTCGCTTTCGGGAGGGTGACAGGTGTCGGGCGTGTGCGTGTGTGTGCCGTTTGGGACTGTAGAGGCACGAGCTTACGTAAGTGGCGAGGCGAGCCGACGGTGGACTCGCGTGGGACGGGGGCGGGTCTGCCCAGAAACCGCGTCCCGGGCTCCGGGGCGCTCGGAAGCGCTCGCCGCCTGGGGCCGGCGTGCGGCCGGTACGTGCCTGTAGAGACTTCGAGTGTTTCCGTGATTTGGGGATCGCAGGTAGGGCCGCTTCACTTCAAAAGCAGATCGTAAGGAACTTTTCCGCCGAAGAAGCTCGCCCATCTGTGGTTTGGAGGACGAGGAAGCGAGTCGTAGGGGTGGGTGCCCCGGTCCGGTTTGGGGGAAGAACTGCGTCAGGAGGGGAACCGAGGCACTGGCTCCCGAGAGAATGACAACTAAGCTGGTGGCCTGAACCCCTTTACAGACACTGCCAAGCTGCGTAGAGAGTGGCCCAGGGAGATAGGAAAAGTGACCCAGAAAATTTAATTTTGTTCAGAATGAACGCTGCTGTATTTTTTTAATATGATGAAGTAGGGAGGAATATTATTTCTCTTTCTCATTAAAAGGAGTGGCATTTCCATGCTACAAAATGAAGATATTTTGGATCTTATTGTTGGCTTGGAACTGTTCCCTCGGCATTAACTAGTGCGTAGGAACTGGATCTGCAGGTAATTTCTAATCAATACCTTCTAGCAGCCCCCAGGTAAAACTGCCAAATACGCAGGATTAGGTAAAAAGCCCAACGCTGGGACTTTTTTCTTACCAGAGGGGGATGACAAGTGGAAGAATGAGAACTGGGCTTGTAAATGTCCAAACGGAGTGCGAGACCGAGCTACAAGTGTGTGTGTGTTGTCAAAATGTGGTAGACAGAAAGGTCGCTGTTAGGTTTAACTTAATGTGTTAAACAAGGCTTTGAGAGTTTCATTTTCATAGGCCGACAGGTCTTTATATGGAGTGGGCACTGGGGAGTTGGTGAGAAACTTTGTGTGAGTTGCATATTTTTATGCTACTTATTCTTCTTATTAATTTTGCAATGCATGGGACAACCGCAAAGTGAGTTGAGGACACAGGGGGATGTGACACTCTTTGGAGGGACACCTTTATCAGTAAAAGCTTGCATGCCCGACAGAGAAAACCGAGATTTTCCTTCTGAGTTCTCTGATACTGTTGTCAAGCTAAATTGTTGTGTAAATATGTAAACATTGTAGTATACGTATGTATTTCCCCCCCCAATAACTTGTCCTTTCTTGAAAGTGTTGGTAAATTCTAGAAATGTCAGCTACTGTGAGGTATTTTAATAACGTAGGTAGCCGCTGGTATTTCCTTTTTTATATTCATTACGTGGGTTCTTAACTTCTCTGTCTCCTTCAGAAAACTTAAATCAACACTCACTGATATATCCCTGAGAGTTTCAGTAAAACAATGCTAGCTTTTCCTCAAGCAGCACATTTTGCTTTTCAAGTGAAACATTCATTACAACAGTGCTTTTACTGCAGAAACGTCTCTTTAAATGAGACAGTTATTTATTTATTTATGAATGATTTGTGGAGTAAGATAGCCAGCATAGGTATATTTTAAACAAACAAATATTTCTCGTGAAATGAAATTCCACACACACACACAAAACATGTTTTAATTGAAGCACAGTTGACATACAATTTTATATTGGTTTCAGGTGTCCGGCATCATGATTCGACATTTGTATGCACTGTGTTACGATCAGCAAGTGAAGTTACCCTCTAAAAGGATATTTAGGAGAACAAACTTTGCCAGTAATTTTGGGTGTCTGATGGTCCACAGGGACAGACTTTTATGTGAAAGTAGGATCATTCTGTTTCTTATTTCTCTGATAATCTTCCCTGTATTTTATCCCCTGGACTTCTTGGACTTTGCCAGGAACTGCCAAACATTCTGTTTTGTGCTGGGGGTTAAGTGTCAGGGAGATGGGAGTGAGGAGCTCTGGGTCACATCAACACTTTTCCAAAGAGATGACTTCCGAGATCCCAGTGCTGGGATGAAATCTCCTTGAGCCTCAGAGTTAGCTTGTCTTAATTCATAATGCTTTGAACCTCGGAAAGCATTTAACCTCTTCATTTTTAGTGCCAGCTGGAAGGAATATATTTACTGAATTTCATCTTCATTGTAACATATGGCATGATATAAATAATTACTACACACACACTGTCCTGCTGTATGGAGAGAAATAGAATTACAAAATAAACCTTCATGTTCAGTTATATGGATGTAACATTTCAAAAAAAACAGTTTTACTTTTTTTTTTTTTTATTACCGAAGTAATATATAAGCATTGGGACATGGTCAGGAAACTACCAAGAAAAAAAGATTACTTGTAATTCTCCCACAGATGGTGAGCCACTGTTGACATTTTTGCATACTCTATCTTCTTGCGGACTTTATTCTGATCACACTATTCATTGGATTTTTGCCCCTCCCCTGAGCCCATCCCCAAATTTCAGATCTGTAAATGGAATTTAGGTATGTGTCAGAGGTTTGGAAAATTACTGCTAGTTTTCTGGATGGTTTTGATTTTTGGATGGTTTTGATTTCTGGATGGTTTAGATCAGGTTTTAATTTGTGTTAATGATCCTTATTTTCAAAGAGAGTAGTTTCTCTGTTTATCCGTTTTCCTTGAAAAGCAAGATTTGCACTTTGAGTCAGCACTTATGGGGCTCCCCATAAGATTCAGGGAGTAAAGCATCAGAAAAGAAATGGAACATTGGCCATTCTGGGCAGGAGGCCTTAGTTTTGGTTTCAATCCCGTGGCCAACTCACGTGGCCTTTGCCCTCTGGGCCTCTGTTTCCTCAAAGATCAAGTAACAGTTTCAGATTTAGCTCAATAAGCTAACACAATCCTTGTTGTTCTTATGTTTGTTGAGGATAATTTTTGTTTGGAGTGGGCTCTTTAGAATACAGTTGGCTGGGGGGTCGCCCTGAGAGTTCCGACTCAGTTGACCTGGGGTGGGGCCTGAACGTTACATTTCTAACCAGTCCCCAGTGATGCCGACTCTGCTGGTCTGGGGACCACAGGGAGATCTACGGAGTAAGCCCCTTGGGGGCAGAACACCGTTTCATTTTCCTTTGCATCCCCCTCTTCCATGCCCAGCGATGTACCTACCTGCCAGTCGGCACTCAATAAGTGTTCGTTGAATCAGAATCAGTTTTTCTCTATGGGGGAAAAACTTTCTGAAATGGTCAAGAGAAGGGAGCTCATCCTCCGGCATTTGGAACAGTGAAGTCTGTGATGAGAGTAGTGATCAGTCATGAAACAAAGTTCTTCAAACCACAAGAAAAGCAAAAATGCCCTCAACTTGGTGGTTAAAGTGAACAGTAGACCTAACGAGTTGTGTTAAATAACGACTCAGAGTACCTGCTTGAGATGCGACAAGCCACAAAGCTTATCCAGTGCTTCACTGTCGCTGAGAAAATTCATTTTCTGCCGCAGCTACATTCCTGTAAAGGGAGAGGGAGGAAATTCGCTATTAATTACTCTACTTACCAAAGCAGCAGGTAAAGAAAGCAGGAGTCCAGACACCACCCCTTACACACGCCTACACACGCCTACACACGCCTACACACGCCTACACACGCCTACACACCCAAACAAAAGGCAGAGCAGTGCCCATTAGGGCACCACAACCATTTTATGAGATAGATGACTAAATTTCCCCTTCTATGAGAAAGCTAAGAGAGGGCATTGAGGGGCGCATTTTGTTGTTATTATTATTTTTAAAGATTTTATTTATTTATCTTTAGAGGGGAAGGGAAGGAGAGAGGGAGAGGAATATCAATGTATGGTTGCCTCTTGTATGTCCCCTGCCAGGAACTGGCCTGCAACCCAGGCATGTGCCCTGACTGGGAATCGAGCCGTGATACTCTGGTTCGCAGGCCCCCGCTCAATCCACTGAGCTACACCAGCCAGGGGAGGGGTGCATTTTATAGCTAGGAGAGTCCAGGAAGCTGAAATACCCCTCTTTTGGTCTCCCTTGTGTGGCTACTTTGTGTCTAGAAAATGAACCCTTCCTTTGTACTTAGGTGTTGGACACGGTACAGCCATTTTTATCTATGGCAACCTTAAAAAATCTGTAAATACCGGGTCTGGCACAAATAACACCCTCTTTATTACATAAAAATCTTTTATTACAAAATCATAAGCATGTAATTCTGTGACATAACAATATCCCACTGAAGCACATCATATGATGTTATAGGTGAAATGTTCACATTGCTGTCCGTCTCGTGCGAGACATTCACACGCCCTGCCAACTACACTCTGTGGCGTTACTTCTGCCAGACCCTACATTTGAGCATGAGCCAAGTAGCTGCCAGTGTGATGGAGGCTACTCCAGTGAGGTGTGCTGGAGACTGGCTGTCTTGGATTTTCTAAACACTTAGGTGAAACCGTCAGAGGAAAAGCCATCTTGAAGTTCCCTTACTCACTCGTGTCTGTCCTCCCCAACATGCTATTTTCTTGCCCAGGGGGGAGTGCACGTTAAACTTCTGAGTGTCCTGCGTGAACGTGAACTTGGCGGTGACTTCCCCTCGGAAATACTCAAGATACTAGGCCAGCCCCGAGCTGTGACAGAGAGCTGTGATCAGTGCTCCTCAAGTAGCATAACAGGCCTTTTGAAGCTGTTGTGTTTCTGAACCTAAATTTCCTCATCTATAAGTGGGAATAAAAATATATCCCTTGAATGTATGTGGCTATGAGGAGAAAATAGTACACCATGTAGCGTACTGGGCACAGTAATTCAAGAAGAAGGACCCGGTCACACTACACTACTTTTCTACTAATATTAATAATCAGTTGTTGGTTTGCAACCTCAG